AGTTTTATACTCCCTGCTTTATGGATATAAGTGTATGACTTAAAAATACATCCAAGACATAGACTGTAGTCCAGTAAATCCAGAAAGTGATAACAAGTTAGGCAGACTCTCAAGAATCTTAAGACATTTGACTAAATCTTTCGTTGCTTTGTTTTAGAGTCAGCTAATAAGCAACTAGCTGCTAGGGAAGAGATCATTACAGTAGGTTCCTTAATTGAGGAAAAAACATCCTCAAAAAGGCTTCTGTGTTTTTCTAGAAGCACACAGAAGGCTTGTCAATGCTTGCATCTGCATTGACAAGCCTTAGATAATGCATTCAATTAAATCTCTGTGGTGTTAATAACACAATCATTAAAGATGGCAACAGAGACACTAACTATACTAAGGGTATACTATAGGCATGCCATTAATTAATTAAACCCATTACTGTTTCTTCTCTCCTGTGTGTGTTAGTCAATAAAACTGCAGGAAAAGAAGGAAAACAAAATGGATACAATCGAGCTCCACACATAGAACTACAGCGCACAGAAGGTGCCTCAAGGAGAATTCAGTAGTCTCTCTTTTCTGACAGCTTGTCAGCACATTCTTAACCATTAGGATATGATATTGTCAGATCACCCACTCCTATAATAAAACACATCTTGTCACATTAAAATTTGTGGTTATAATGTGACAAGATGTTGAAAGGTTTAAAGCTTATAAGTACTATTGCAAAGCACTGTGGCTGATATCACATCTCTGCATGACCCCAATAATGAAATTACATATTTTCCCACTATGCTAGACAGGCAGTTCACTCACCTGGGAGGTTAGATAGTTTCTTACTTACTATCTAATTATATCAGCTAATATTATTTGACCCCCATTTAATCAGTCTATCTTCATGACTTACCAGAACACACAAGACTGATCTTTTGCATACATAACATCCTTAAAAAAAGCAGTTTAACAATAGCATAAGTCAGAAAACTGTAAAAGCCATCTTAAACAGATTTTTTTCATTTCTGAAAATATGTCAGATTCTGTCTATCTTTGCTTTCTAAATCTGAAAAGATGTAAAACTGACCATAAGAGACAATTATCTACCTTCCACAAATTACCTTGAAAAAGACTATAAATATACTTCTCTTGCTGCCTATTTTTAAATATGCAACAGAAAATGTCCTTTGAGAGGGACAACAAAAACCTCAGAGAGTTTGCCAGACACAGATGGTTTGTTTATTTTATGGTTTATCTCCTGATGTTAGCAACAAATAAAAAAAATGATTAAGAGGCAGAGTGTTGACCTGGCAGTTTTTTCAACTCAAGGGAAAGCAAAGTTGCAACAATAAGAGCAGTAATGGGACTGAAAGGTAGATGTTTTATAAACACCAGCAGGTTAAGTCACAGCCTTGATTCAGTAAATTCAGTGATTCTATAAAAAAAAAAAAGAACACTGATGTTTTCCAACAGAAGTAAAAGCAGAGTTTATTGAGAAGGCATCATCTTGTGCCTTCTTTTAAAGTTTAAGTCAATCTTTGAGACATTGACTTAACCACAGATCATCTAAAGCATTTTTTCCCCTGAAACTTGTGGGGTATTCCTCTATCTCTATAATGTTGAACAATGATTTTGCTACAGAAATGTTTTGCAGTGGAAACATAACTGTTTATCATAAATAGTTCAATTGCTGTTTATCATATTTTTACTTCCACAGCTACACAGCTACTCCTCAGAACAGATTTTTTAAAAGTATATACATAAAATAAATAGTGTATTGTTGTACTATGTAACCCCTAAATTATAATTTTGTTTAAAAAATCTAATAACCTGAACTTCTTTGATGAAAATTACCTCAGTGAACAGAATATGAGTAATTGTAGTACTGTAATATGTTTTGCACTGCTGCAAGAAGGAAGACATCTGAACTGAGTCATTAATGACGAATGTTCTCGGTTTTAGACCGGGTGGAATATTGCAAATGGGAAAAATGTTTGTTTTATCTGTTTTAAGTTGAAGAAAGCTTATTATGGAATTGATAGAAAGGCATTTTAGGGCACTGGATTATAATATGCCTTTTATATAGAGTTTGATAATTTTACTATTAATATGTTTGCCAATTTAAGCATCAGTAGACCAGCTTCATCAATGAACCGTACACATCCCTATTTCTGTTGCTAGTTCATCATTATTCCATCTCTGGGCCGCTTTTGATAAGTACTGACCACTTGCAGATGAGGAAAACTCAACATGAGCACCAATTTTGAGATGTTATAAATTATTACATTTGTCTATTATGATTTGTCCCTTCATCAAACTCCTCAACTTATTTTTTCCTACTTGTAATTGTCATGATTTTATTCAAAGATCTGACCCACATGCAGAAAACCAAACAGAGAGACCAGGGGAAGGTTTAACAGGTTTATTGAGAACTGGTAGAGATGGGTCCAGTGCTGCTCTGAACACTGGCGAACCAGGACTGAAAAGTCAATGGGAAGTTCCTGTGGTTAGTTCAGGCTCAGTGGGAAATTTGAGCTTCGATTTACAAAAGGGAATAAAGGCAACAGGTCTCACGTTTCCAGAAAAGATGTCTTTCTCTGAATCCAGTAGGTGTGGGTTGTTCCAGTAATTGACTTGGAGGAGCTGACGGCCACTTTGATTTCCTTTGGTACATGAACGGTTTCTTGTGGAGATTAATCCCATGTTCAGTGTGAAGCTCAAACAATCCTTTGGGGAAAAGTAGATCCAAACCTCCTGTTTGAATCCCCAGCTCAGTTTGAAGCTCAGACGATCCTTCCTGGGGGAGAAGGTCCAAAACATCCAGTTTGCAGGATGACTTCCTGCCGAGAGGCAAAGACAAAAAACAACAAGGTTAAGACTCAGGTTTACAAAAACTCAGTTTGACTCAGCAAATTTCAGCTTGGCTAGAGTACCCAAAACTGGCAAACACTTTGGCCCCGAGGTAGTGGCAGTCAGCAGCTTAAGAGTCCTCAGATAATGAGGCAAACATCCGCAGGTGTGTGAGAGGGCCACGGAGAACCAGGCGCTACCTGGTGGTGGAAGAAAAAAACCCCCACAAAAACACAACACAAAACAGCCCACACAAACTGGATTCCTGACAGTGATGTATGACCTTTAATTATAAAATATTAACTTTCTTCTTAGGATATTACACCTGCTAGCAGTTGCTATTAGAGATAGATAATGTTAATCATTTTACATGACCCAATAGTAATAATTTCATGCCTGGCAAAGTGTTTTGGTTTTTTCCCACATTTTTAACTAACCACCAGAGATTTTTTTTTTAACCTTAAAATATCCATTGATTAAAATAACAGTTTGACATAGAACAGAATTCAGCTTAATTTTCATTACACTGTCACAATTGCGAAGCAATAAAATGTAGTTTGCATCTATCCAGAAGTGCTATACAGTATATAAATATTTATTTACATGTGCACAGAGACTATATATGTGTTAACTGTAATCAGTATGTATAAAGAGAGAGTAATTGTAAGAGGCTATAAAACTATATAAAGATCATACAGGAAGATCAGGATATGGATTATATTTATATACTGTAAGTGGGGTTATCATACAGGATAAATAATGACAGATAATAGCAAATAAAATATATGCAGATTATATACAGCTATAGTCGAGAAGTACATCTAAGTAGTGTTGGATCTGTGGATGTGGGTGTGAGGGAAACAGTCCATGGTATAAACATGTAACGTGTGTACAGAGGGGTTACAGGTTATCCTGTAAACTGTGAACAAAATGCTTTGATCTAATCTAGCATCTAGAATGAGCTTCTTCACACTTCAATCAATTGTTTGAACAGAATTTAAAAAAAGATTGCCTACTTTACTCTCAGCCATAAGAGCAGCTTGCAGGTTCAGGAGAAAAAAAATCCCCAAATAAATGATTAAAGAGAAGTTTGCATTTCTTTTGATCGAAATGTGAGTTTTATTCGTATAGTATTTTGCAAAACACATGTTACACCAAAGTCCCACACATTTCGAATGGGCTTTTACTAGCAAACAGCAGCAGCTTTCATCCCTCAGTAGTTTCCAAGAGGTAACTTTTGGAAACTATCGGCAGGACATCAAGAAAAATGAGGAGATCTGTGATTTATGTTTAACTTAACCCAGGGTATAACATGCTTAATTGATGCTTGATCACACACAGCTTCCACATCAAGGTTATCAAGCCACATTTGTAATGGTAAAAGATTGCCTGACAATGCAAGTAGTTATTAAGCAAGTGGTAGGGCCATTCGATGTGGTTTGCTTATTTTTCTGGAAAAACAAACATTTGCTTCCTCACCATTCATCCTGTGTTCCTTTCTGTTGTTCACATCTCAAAGCTCAATAAAGACGAATTAAGTCAGCTTTGACTTTTACTTTGTTTTCTTGATGAATTACGTGGGATAGAGCTGATTAATGGTGTTTAGGGGATTTCAGTATAGACTAAATCAATCCCAACACTCTTTATCAACAAGGTGTTCTATTTTAGGGTAATTTGTAAAGGTTTTTAAAAACATCCCCTAATTTGTAAGGTTGGTGAAAATATCCCTGGGGCTTTTAGGCAACACTGAAAAACACAATTCAAATAAACAGTATATATCTTTTAATATATACCTAAAATAGCAACAACTGTGTAATTTTTTTAGAACAATAAAACATATTCAGGTACAATGTAAAAAAAAAGAAAAAAAAGAAATTTCTACAGTAAAATGATAGTCTTAGTAATGTTAAAGTAATGTGTTCTTATATTTTAAGTTTGCAAAAAAAATCCAAATCTTTAACTGAGTGGTCTAGCCTGCACTCTGTTTTTGTGTTTTCCTATAAATAAATAAATAAAATCAATCCTCCCCAATCAGCATTTTTCTTTCTTTCTTATTTTTGCTTTATTGTGAACACCTTTACCCACAATTCTGGGAACCCCATCCTGTGTTGTTCAGCCTGAAACAAACAGAAATCTGTTGTTTTTACATCTCATTTTGTTTTTTATTGCAGGCTTTCATCTCTTTGAAGTGGGTGATGATTTGACAGCATCAAACTCAAGGTATTTATTCTGATCGTCTGGTGAAAATAATTGATAAAGAATGCAACTTTTATAGGCTTTGACTTATCACATTTTTTCTGTCTTTTTTATGCATAGACATTGAAATAGATCTTGAAGATTATATTAACTATTTAGGCTTTTTGTGTTTTTTTGTAAGAAAATTTTACTTCCGGGTCTAAACCGGAAAAGACACTGGAAATGACGTAACGCTAGGGAGTCCAGTTAGCATTACAGCAGTGAACAATGGATATCGATTCTAATTTAATTTCAATTCAATTCAGTTTATTTATATAGCACCAAATTCACAACACATGTCATCTCAAGGCACTTTACAGTTCAACCAGATCATACAGTCAAATTGATACAAAGTTTTCTATCTAAGGAAAACCAGTTGATTGCATCGACTCATTGACTCAAATACAATCCCTCACACTAACACACAACCAGGCAGACGAGCTCCGAGCCAGCTCCCATGCCAGAGGACGAAGAGAGCACATCCACTCAGTCACGGTCAGAGAAAAAGGACCACACTGGAAAACATGCAGATCTCCAACATCTATAAACAAGGGTGTTGATGGAAGCAGCACAGCTGATGTTTCTTTCCAGGATGGCATCACAGCCAAACAGGAACAGACGAGGCCTAGCTACTCTGAGGAAAAGCAGAGAGAGCAGAAGGTTAGAGATTGAACTAACAGATTCTGCAGAATAGGAGAACAGAGAGAGAATGAAGCAGAATGATGAAATGGGGGTCCCTATGTCCTCCAGAAGTCTAAGCCTATAGCAGCATAACTATAGAGATAGCTCAGGATAACCTGAGCCACCCTAACTATAAGCTTTATCAAAAAGGAAAGTTTTAAGCCTAGCCTTAAAAGTAGACAGGGTGTCTGCCTCACGGACTAAAACTGGTAGTTGGTTCCGCAGGAGAGGAGCCTGATAACTAAAATATCTGCCTCCCATTCTACTTTTAGAAATTCTAGGAACCACTAGTAAACCTGCAGATTGAGAGCGAAGTGCTCTGTTAGGAACATAAGGAACAATCAGATCTCTGATATCAGATGGAGCTTGGCCATTTAAGGCTTTATATGTGAGAAGGAGGATTTTAAATTCTATTCTTGATTTAACAGGAAGCCAATGAAGAGAAGCCAGGATAGGAAAGATATGATCTCTCTTTTTAATTTTCATCAGAACTCTGGCTGCAGCATTTTGGATCAGCTGAAGGCTTTTAACTACAGTTTGTGGACTTCCTGATAGTAAAGAATTACAATAGTCCAGCCTTGAAGTAACAAATGCATGGACTAGTTCAGAACACATAGAAACATTATATGTGTACAACTACACATATGATGGACCACAACTTTCCAATTCTGAGCCTGTTGAATTCATTGCTGATTGGAAAAGTAATGTCACCTATAACAGGCATTTTGGTGGGAAAACCTGTCCTCAGACTGGCCTGCTACTTTGAACCACAGTCATCAATCTGAGAGATTTTCCGCAATGATCTGCAAAATCTAGGGTTCTAAGCAGTGAGAAACACCAGCTACCATAACGGCAATGTCTAAGGCTTTTTGTGACCATGATCACTACAGCAACAGAGAGAATAGATTCCGGCTTTCTTCCTTTATTTAAAGTGTCTGCAGCATTCATTTTAATCCCAATCACAGTTCTGTCAGCCATCCACTGATATCCTGTTTACATAAAGCTCTACTTAAGATTTGCATCAGGACTGGAACACAGATGGTATCTAGGTCCCTTATAGGGAACAAGGTTCATTCATTTTAGCATCGGTCACCAAAGGTTGTGCAAACCCCACAAACTTAATATTTGACCATGTTTATCATCAATAAATGGAATTTCAAACTTTTACCAAACTGAATTATATGTCCACTCTACCTGATAACTATCTTCTCTCCACACAGAGCTCAAAATTTACTTTGCAAAACATGTTATGCATACTAAATTTACTTTGTCATGATTGCTTAAACACTTTAAATACTAAACAAACTTTTCAAATATGAACCAATCTCAATTTTTTCTTTATAAAAGAAATTGTAATTTGTTACAGGGAATGTGCTCAAATGAATGTCTGAGGGAAAAATTTTTTCAAACATCTACTGAACCTGGCAACAGACTGAAAAATGATCAAATAAGAAAAAATAAGATCGGATAGATTACCCCGCTCAATTTTAAATGAGTTAATACAAACTAAGTGCGATTAATGTTACCCATTACAATGGAATAAAAAAAAAATTCAATGGTGGTACTTTAAACTGAAAATGTTGCCTTGCCTTGAAGCAGAGAAAGCATGTTTCACTTGAGCTGACAGTCCTTCTGTTGTTTCACATTCCCTGATGTGAAAGATGTGTGGATTGGCCCCTGGTGTGTTGCTCCCAGTAGGTGACTGAGAATCATCTACAGCTACTGAGCCATGGTTATTGTAATTAGGGTTGATCTGCAACTACGGCCACACTGAAGTAGTTTAAAGGAAGTAACAGAGGATTTTTTGCTATTGCTGCCATTTGCTACATACATATATATATATATATATATATATATATATATATATATATATATATATATATATATATTTTTTTTTTTTTTTTTTTTTTTTTTTGCTTATCTGATCTATTAAGTATAAAACTTTGGTCAAATGTGTTTTTTACATATGGATTATATATATATAAATATATATATATATATATATATATATATATATATATATATATATATATATATATATATATATATATATATATATATATATATATTTATATATATATATATATATATATATATATATATGTATATATCAGATAGGTCAGATAAGCAATTATTTTAATTAATTATGCCATTAAATAATTAATTTAGCCCCATTTCTGATGATTTACTTTGTCACACCTTATGCATCCCTTTAACAAGCATGCCTAATGCACATATTTATGTTTATGGATTTACATGCATTTCATTGGTAAAAGGGAAATTTACAGAAAGTGAAACCAAAGAGGGGCAGAATTTGAAGAATAAAATAAACAAAAAAGTAAAAGAGGTGAGAAAAGGAAATGTTCTTGTCTCTTGTCACACATTTGAATACTGACTACCTTCTCAACAAAACATTGAGTTGCAATACGCCACTGATCAAAACAGCATAGTCAGTTGTACCTACACACCCCCACCACCACACATTTCTACGCAAACATAGGTATTATGGCTGGTTGTTGACAGTTTTTTCTGAAGTGGATTGTGCTCATTAGGTGGGGTTGCAGATTGGTTTCTATTTATAACCAGCAGCCTGCGCAGCAGTAGCCTCAGCAGCATAGAGGTGTTTGAAGTAGCACAGGCCTCCAGTGGGCTTAGCTAACGAGATGCATCAGCAGTCGATCATTCCCAAACTGCAGGAGTTTGACCTAAAGTTAGGCTGGTGTGTGCATGTAGGCTGCTTATTAATGGCTATGATTTATATTCACATATTCAGTTTTTTGGGGGGGCGTTTAGAAATCACTGGTTTGATTGTGTACTTAAAGACACAACTCATTTTGAATGGTACAGCAGGAGGATGACAAAATATTGTCTGTTAGAGCTTTTCTTATTTATTTATTTTTTTACCAACATTTAACTTTTTTCCAGTAATTGCTGATTTAATTAGCAGTTATGCATAAAGATAAAAGAAGACAAAGGCATGATAATACATTTTTTGATTGACAAAAATATCTATATATATTAGAGAATAATAATCTATTGTCTTTGAAAGTCAGAAACTTTGTATCTTTAAAAATAGAATTTTTCTAGAAAAAAATTTTTTAGCTTTGCAGTATAAATTTAAAATGTTTTGTAAAAAGTCAAATAGCTTTTTCATATAGCATATTTAGCCAAACCATGAGGCCATTTAACCTTATGGCTAGATGTTGAAAGAATGTATGTTATTTTTTGGCCTATATGTGTGTCATCTGTTATATGTATCAATAAATCCACAGATTTTTAACAGTTAATTAAATAGCAAATACAAACCTACAATTTACAAAATAAACATTTATTTATAATGTATAATTTATGCTATGAATTGAAAAAAACTTAAAATATACATAGTTTTGCACTTTTTGTACTGTAGTTTTAGTAAAATACTTACACTCTTCTGAAATAAACCATAAAAGAACTGTGTTAACACTTCCTTTTATTTATCTAGAATTTGCCTGTGATCATTGAAAAATGTGTTGTTTGTTTTTTGGGGGGCGGGGGGGTTAAAATATGAGTGTGCAGGTCTGTCATCTATGTATTTGAAGCTCATTTGTTCCATTCTGAAACACATAGGATGCAGTTATTCTTTTGTAATTTTTACATCATCTGCCCCAATGAAAGACTTCCATATGTCAGAGACTGTTCTATGTAACCTTTAAGGGTGTATGGTCACTGTCTCATGTAAACTTTGTTTTATTCATATTATGTTTACAACAGGGGGGCCTTCCTGAAACTGGTTCTTACTGGGTCTAAATTACGTATATATTATTGTTTTGAACCTCAACTATTGTCAGTTGGTTTATACATTTTAACACCTAACACTTTAGCAGAAGGTAAACAGCAGTTAATCTGTGGTTATAGATTTTATCTCCCATCATTCTTCTGCTTGACTTGTTTGGCATCAACACAAAGCATACCAAATAAGTTTAGATTTGACAAGATAATTAGGTCTGATACCGTCTCCTTCCACTGCACTAAGTCTCAAAGACTTGTTAATCCCTGCTTTTCTTTCCTTCTTGCACTGATAAGCAATGGGGTAGGAAATTAAATAAGTAGATAAAGTAATTTGTCACACTTCCGCACCCAGTTCACTCATTGCAGGGTAAAAAAGTGGCTGTTTTGATACTGGCCTTGTTTATGATCAAAATTAAAGAAATAGAGGTTAAACTAATACAGTAGAATATAACTTTAGAAGATAATAAAAAAAAAAAAAAAAAACAGTTAGTGGGGAAAACAACACATCTAAACCCATGGTATATAACTGCATATCA